GGCCAACATGTGCCAAGAAAGTCAAGTATGCCATTTACACAGTCCGCAACCGAGTGGTTCGACAAGCAGGTAACCCATCATTGTTTATTTCGATCATGTAAACAATATACAAAGTTCATTTAGCAAAGAAGAGAAGAGAAACAGCTATACAACATAAAGCCAATACATTTCACTATCACCTGTTCTGATTCAGTTACATATAGAAGGAGCAGGAAGAAGTAGTCCCGCCCCTTCGCCACGAGTTATCGTCAATATTCAATCAGCTTCCTTACTGATATAATCTGCAGTAATAATAATAACGACTGTAGCATCCAGTCGAACTGAGAAGGCCAGAACTGATGGTTGTTGAATGACCTTATTATTCCTTGCCGTGTATCAGACAACGAACCAACGTAAGAGCAAATAAAACAATTACCATGTTATTCATGTAACACCATTTCAACCGCTCATTGCGCTGGTCTAACCGTTTTCTATTAAACTATATAATACATATAATGCATTTCAGACTGCTCAACTTAAATCATGTACATTACAAACCTTGTTCCCCTGTCGACTGTAGCTAGAACCATTCATTTTGTACAATTTAACCATGTTTTTCTCTCCCTTTTCTCTAAACTAGCAATAGTTTACCGTTTTCTTCCGTCTTTTTTGTACATCAAGCTGGTTACCGTTACCATCATTCACTTCCGGTCACACAGGAAGTTACCAAAATAAAAGTTATATTACGTAAATATGAGCTAGCTTTACATATCCGCCGTTACAACGACATATTTCTAATATATTTATACCACATTATATCATTGTGTTTTTGTGGTTCGATAACGTTGCCTCCCATTTTAAAAAGTTAATGTAGAATCCAACAAGTATGAATACAATTTACATTCACTGAATTGTAACATTTTTGCTTTCTTTATAACTCATAAAGAACACAACTTAATAACTTTCTTTATGTTTGTACTCTAACTTTTACAATAGTTGTGCGTGAACTTAGTGTAGAGAACCCCGTTAAGCGTGTTTACAGACGTATAGCTCCATGCTTGGTTAGACTTTGGCTTAAACGTGTACGAGCTGCAGCGCACACACTGCACCGAAAAGTGAGTCATAGCGCGGTGGAGAGGAGCAAATAACTGCAAAATGGAAACAAACACCCTTCGTAAGGTTTATGGGATTAACAAGGGTTAAGAGTTTGTTCACAAAACAAAAACACTGCACTGGTAAGGACAACACCAGTATGGTTTGGCTTCATGGCACAATTTTAAACCTGATCGTTTCGTTTCCAGCCTCCGTTTTAGGACCGGTCATCAACATTCGGACATCCTGGAGAGGCTTCCCGCCCGCCGTCACAGCCGCCGTGTCTGTGCCCACAACCGCCGAGCCAGAGGGATACAGATACTTTGTCTTCTCAGGACGTAAGTCACACACTGGCCCGTTTACAGAGCTGGAATAAAAGCATGCGGTTTGGCGGTGTTTAAAGCAGCAGTGGTGCTTATGCACGTCTTTGTTGCTCAACTTCAGAAGCACAAAATGTCCTTCACGTGTCCGTCGGCATGTCGTTAACAAGGACCACGTGTGTGTGGGTGTGTGTGTGTTCACCTGCAGCTCAGATTTACTGCAGAGTTCCCACAGTCAAGATTTCCATTTCAATGGTGATGCATAAGAAAACAGACGGGTGTCCGTGGACGAGCTGTCCACTACAAACTGTAACAGCGGCCGTGTTGATAAACAGCTCTGTGCCACGTTCATGCCAGTCTACCTGAATATAGCTGCACGAAGGAAAAATATTGTTTTGTAAGTATCAGCTATTAATGTAATGGTCTAATGAACTTGCTGTTTATTCTACTTCTGCAGCAAAATCCTACAACGTGAGGTTGGACGGTGAACGTCCTGTCATCGCTCCTCCTACAGCCGGCTCATCACCGCAGTCCAACAACTTCATCAGATGTTCACAGTAAAACAACAAATGTTTTCGCTTTGTAAGTTTATTATAATCATCATAAAACACATCAGGATGGACACAATTACAAGAAAGTATCTAATCGCATTAACAAAATGAAACTAAATCAAAGCCCAACATGCTTCATAACAGAACATGATCACGTCTGAGCTTTCCTGAAGGAACGATGAGCTCTTCACTTTGATTTTTCCTTCATCGGGCGAATCTTCTCCCCTGTTTCCATGAAGGAAAAGCTTGACCTGTGGAGATGGAAGCATGTTTTTAGACGGGCTTGCTGCACCGATGTAAAGAAATTAATAAAACAAAAATGGTCAGAGTGACTGTAAAATGTGTAATAATAACCACAATGAATGTACCGTGTTTCCTGTCGTGCTTTTCATTAATAAAAACCTGAATGAAATGTCTGAAGTCCTTCATGAGTGGCCATTTAAAGCAGTAATAAAATCATTGCTCAGTCTTGTGCCCATTATAACGTTCGTGTTACATCACTGTTACCTCCTCTCTTCATGCGGCCGCCGCGGCTGTCCGGCCATCGTTGGAGCTGTCTGCTGGGCCCGGGCCGAGACTGTTTTGGTGGAGCGCTGCTTGTATCTAAAAAACAAAAACAAACGTAACCTACTGAATATGCAACAGAAAGACAAAACAGATGGGGAACGGCACAGTCGCGAGGCTGTAGTGTACCTGCAGAGCTGGAGGAAGGCTCCTGGCTGGTGGAGGGGAGGCTGCTCTTGTCGGACGCTTGGCTCGACTCCTCCATATCGCCCTGAGACACCACGGGGTCCACCGACACTTCGGCACCGGGCCTGAATCAAGCAAAATGCACTTGTGACCTTCGTAACCTCTCATTTTGGTGAAGTTATTGAAACCGAGTGGAACGAAAGGTTTCAAAGAGGCAGAAGTTGGAGGAGTGACAATCTGCTGAGAGGGCGAGGCTCACCTATCAGTGTCTGGCTCCAGGAAGACGTCGTCTCTCTCCTCCCCTGCACCGGCAGCTCCTGGTGTTGATGTGCTCACCATGGGAACAGACTGAGAGGCGTGCTCTGTGTCGGACTGAGCCACTTCTGAGAAAACAGTTACTGGAAGATAGAAAGAGGAAAACAAATGTCAACTTTCCACAAACTCGTAGTGCTCCCCAAACCCAAATTTCATCACACTTATCCTAGAAAAGATAGTTTTGAGGAAGCTCAGGAAAAGGCAGTGTGACATGCTTTAACGGACAGACTGACAGAGACACACAAATACCTGGAGCTGCAACTTGTAGCGGAGTGGTGGGAACGCTGCGTCCACCAGACTCCTCCTCGTGAGTGGCTAAAAACAGGGGACTGTCATACATCCCAAGACCTGAAGAGAAGAATTAGTTTGCAGTTAAAGAGACTGTGGTGCACACTGATGGCTCTTTGGGGTTAACATTCATCAAACATTTGGTAGATTACCTCCTTGTGACGCGAGCTGACCCAGATCAGAGTGTGAGGAAGAGCTGGTCTGCGGCATGTCGTCTGAAGGGCCAAACCTGAAGCGCGGCACGCCAGCTACCTGTGGCGAGCTGAGAAACGAAAGAGACACAAACGTGAATTAGGCGACTGTAGACGGACCAGTTAAGATTTCATTTTAGAAGCAAATGATCGAGTTTGAATGAATAAAGGCTGGTTTATACGAGCTCAAGTCTCAGTTTGAGGAGATGCAGTCAGACAGCTCTACATGACTGCATGTGTGTGGCCTATACACATGCTGTACTACAGGCTACAGGATAATGCAGCACACAACACAGTAGCTCTTTGCAGATTAAAACATTAAAAACACACACACACACCTTCTCATTTAATCATTTTTCTGTATTTTTACTTCTTTCCACGCTGTAGATACAAACTCAAGAATCACATATATTACATAAGATCTATGGAATCTAAATTTGTTGCCAAGCCGTCCTTTGCTCTGTTGACAGCGCTGCAAACCCTTCTTCAATGAGCTTCATGATGCAGTCGCCTGAAGTTTCACTTCACAGACGTGCCTCGTCAGGGTTATTTGTGGACTTTCTTGCCTGCTTAATGGGACCATCAGTTGTGTTGTGCAGACGTCAGGTTGGTACACAGCTGACAGCTGTTAGGATTCATATTATGGCAAGAGCCAATGAGCTGAGTAAAGGGAGGCCACAGTCCATCATTACTGAAGGTCAGTTTGAAATTGAGAAAACTTTGAATGTGTCCCCAAGTGCAGTCGCAGAAACCATCAAGCGCTACGAGGAAACTGGCTCACATGAGGAAGAACAAGATGAATTTATCCGAGCATCGGATCACAAGTTAACAACTCCTCAGATTAGAGTCCAGATAAATGTTCCAGGAGCTGGAAAACCACGACCTCATGAAGCTCAGCGAGAGAACACCAAGTGTGCAAAGCAGCAATCACAGCAAAGGGCGGCGATTTCAAAGAATCGAAATTTTAAAACATGTTTTGAGTTATTTCACAATTTTTTGTTGGCTACATAATTGCACGTGTGTTCCTTCATAGTTTTGATGCCTTCAGAGAGAATCTATGATGTAAATATTCATGAAAATAGAGAAGAAACATTAAATGAGAAGGTCCAAACTTTTGACTGATAGCTGACACCAGGTCAAGTTATATGTACAATTTTTCCAACCAACATTCATCCGTCCATTAAATCATGATAGGTGATAAATTCACACAGGTGACTTTTTTGAGGGGCGGAGCAACGAAATCATGCACAGACTGATTTGTGTGCTTAGAACAATTTCTTTTGTTTGTTTCAGTATTAATATAATATAATAATAATATAGCTACTTTTTGCATTATTTATTCACTTATTTGAAATGCACCAAACTGCACAAAAGACTTAACGTTGGGGATTTTTTAAAAAACTTTTTAATTTCTGTTCGCCTGAAGAAACATTTTGATTTTTAACTTTTTGTTTAATTTGGTATTTGCTGTTTGGTTGAGTGTGTAAGGCAGATAAACGCAGTTATAATGGAAAAAGAAGCCAGTTTCTCTTCGTTTCCCTCCCCATCTCTGTGTTTTTATTTAAATTAAATGTTTTGTTTTTTCTGAACACAGACCACTGCCTTTCTTTCCTTCTGTTATGAGTTTGAGTAAGTGAGTCGCTGCATTTGGGCTCAATGCTTCAACCTTATTAGCAAACTTACTCATGGGCAAATAAATAAATAAATAAATAAATCGCTCTTGTAAAAACGACCGGTGAACGCGATATGACCAAAATCTCATATCCTGATATCAGACATTTATCGTCACAACAACGACATATAATCTGTGGAGATCAGGGAAATTATTTCACCGCTATGGTTCATAATCATCATCATTACCATTGCATTAATAATTAATATTGATATTGTATTCAGATGTTTAAACATATTGGCACCCAATCAGCCTTTATTACAGGTGCAGTTATAACCACTTTAAACTGTTGAGTTAAATCTATCATCTTAAATGTTTATATGCAGATTCTGTTGCATTATAAAGGAAAGGCCTAACTCTGAGTACACTCTGTGCCAAAGTAGACAGGAAGTGCAGGCTTTTGCAGAGCATGCTTGTGAAAGTTACTTTGAGGAGCTGTTGGGATGATGCTATTTGAATAACCAGGTTATTTATTGTTATCTTTTATTCATTTATATCCTTTTTATTAAGCTTTGAAGTAGGGGCATTCATTTACAGCATTTGTTCAATATATTATATATATAGTTTTAGTAAACTGCTAACACATTTGAGAGTGGCCTCTGAGTGTGAGCGTTAGTGGGTGAGAGGTGACACAGTGTCAATTGATGTCAGGACACACACACACACACACACACTGTAGCTAGGCTATGTTCTAGGTGAGAGTTCAGATATTTGCTGTCACTGCATTTTTGTGCGTGCAGAGTTACTAGTTTGTTGCAGAGCATGATTTGAGGAGAAGCGAGAGTCAGAAGATGGACAGGAAGACACTTGGCGCGGAGGCGAAGAAGATGCTCTTTTGAAACATTTGTGGTTTGAAACATATGTATCCATTGTATCTGTTTGATGTTGAAGGGGCGTCATTAAATTTAAGCCCTAATGGTATAAAACATCTGCTTGTGTATTGTTAGTTAGAGATCAATGCTGTCTGCGTACAGCGATCTCTCCACGCGTGTCATTAAAATCTTCGTTTGACGTCACCCGGCCGGGTCAGTGTGGTTATTGGAATTCCTCCTGTTTCCCTCCTTAATATTTGAACCCTTAACAAATCAAACATTTTACATTTTCTGTAAATTTTGTGAATCTCGGCAGCTCAACTTGCGTGAAGTGTTTTCAGCCGCGCGTCGTGTAGCTGGAGTCGAGTGTTACATACGTTTAAACAGCTGCAGTTTTCTTTGTGAGCATTTATTACACGGCTGCGGGGAAAAGCCTGCTCTAAGCTTTATTTTAAGCACCGACGGCTCTTTTTAGCTTCTCATCTGTAAATTCTGCATCATATTTCACGTAATTCAGTTTATTTTGAAAGATCTCAGCAGGATCTTCAGCTTTATTGTGAAAGGTTTATGTTAAAATAATCAAATGGACGGCGGAGCCACGCGATGGTTTTACCGTCGTTGTTGCCAACGACAACGCATAAAAACAGTTGTTTGTCCGTCCGTTGTGTGGTTATATTAAATATCAGAGAACTTTCAGAAATTCTACAGTGACCATCAAAACGATGAAAAATTATTGACGTAAACAGTTTATTTTGGGACACCACGAAACAAACGACAGCGTAAAATGAAACGATAGATGTTTTCATATCGTCATCTGATATTAGGGGTGGGGGAAAAAATCGATACTGTGTAGCATGGTGATATTTTGTTTGCTAATAATGTATGGATACAGGGACAGCAGAAATCGATACTTTGTTACAAAAAAGGTTTTTGTGCTCTGACTTCAGAGCATGTTGATCCTTTTTCTGAGCAAGAATCCTGACATTCCTTCACTGTCCAAATGTGTTTAATAAACATGACAGTTTACTTATTTTAATTTAAGACATGTTTTATTTTAGTTAGTTTAAAACTTTTTTATTTCATGTAAAATTATATTTTGTTTTAATTTACTTTCAAATTCTTCAGTTGCTGAAGGGGCTGCATAGTTTTCATAAACTGCATAGTTCAGAATAGCTATAATTGTACCAGATGGTTGATTCTGTTAAGTTGGACTAGACTGTAATACAAACCGTTCAGTTTGTCAACAATCAAACTGAAATGAGAGAAAGACTGAGTGTGAGACTTTGATATTAGAGAAAATGAATATTGATAAAGTTTACCTTTATGTACAGAATCTGAATATCACAAAATATTTTTAAAAATTGCAATAATATCGTATCGTGGGATGTATGGTGATTCCCACCTCTATCTGATATATATCGTTATATCCAACAGCCCTATCGTCGATGGTTGATAAATTTGTCCAGACCAAGGTTAATTTTCTGTCTGCAAGTCCAACAGTTCGTTTTGCACTAAAACACTTTGTTTGTTCACCAACGGAAAACCAGAAGGCTGAAGATGGAGAAGAACTTCCCCGTTCAACACAACCCCGAGGATACATTTAAAAACAACAGAAAACTGAAGTTTTGGACTGAGCCAGACGGAGCCACGTCACCGGTGTGAGCTGAAGACGGAGGTGCAGAGATGTCCTCATAATCTGAGTGCTTTGCAACAAAGAGTGGGAAAACTACACTACGATGTGTCATGCCAGCTGCTACCCAAGGAAACTGAACAAATCAAAAGGTGCATCAACAGAGTATTAGTGTAACGGTGTGCACTTATACAACCGCCCTAATTTACATTTGCAAAATATTTATTTTTCCACTGACAAGTTTTCAGTGGAACTGCACAAACTACAGGTCACAATGAAACCAGGAGAAGTTTCGAAATGATTCACTGTTTGTATAAACGTGTAGTTCCTTAAAACCTTGCGGCCCGACGTGTGTGACACTTACTGGATGGCCTGATCGAAACCATCAGAGCGGTGAGGCACCACCAGAGTGGGAGCGCTGGGAACCATCCTGTCATCCTCATCGAAAAAGTGCTGCTGCAGATTGAAAGAGGGAAGAAAAAGGGGTCAAGTTTCACACAGAGTTTCGTATGAACATTGTGATGTAAATTCTCAGCCTTTCGATGTGACTCACAGCGCTGCCCGGCACACCGGGAGCAAGTCTGCCCACTGACTGGCGGCGCACTGGGATACGCTGTGAAGGCAGCTGATGCACTGGTCTCCGTGGCGACTGGGGCATGCGTGTACCAGAGCTTGTGGGTTGCTCTGCAGAGAAAGCCTCCATTGTGCCGCTCTCAACTAAAACAGAATTCAAAGGTTCAAATGAACAAGAGAAAATAAGATTTTGGATAAATATACTTTAAAACACCAAAAATGTAAACAAAGTAACTCCCTTTATAATCAATATCCCAGTTACTTTACATTTAAACCTCCTTTTACCTAAAACATAAGCGAGTCGGGTTAATTTGCTTATTTTCCCCGTAAAGCAAATCTTCTTAGTGACCTTTGTTACGCTCGCTTTCAGACAGTAAACACAACACGACATCTTTCTCCGTCATCGCAGACTGTGGATAACTAATTGGATGGCGGGACGGTTTGTGAGCGCATGCAGAGCGTCTGAGGCACAGCTACGTATTCGACAGGGTTTCCTGGAGCTTACAGCTGGGTGTCTGGGAATCCGCCGGCCTTTGGGTGGAGTCGGACGCCCCCAGACTCTCCTCCGTCTCAGTGCCCGGCTCCGTTACGTCAGCTCCCTGAGAAACGAGGGAAATAAAAGGAAACGAGTCAAAGAAGAAATTCAAAACCACTCAAAAGGCAAAATTTGGCAAACGAAGGTAAGACCAACGAGTAACATAACTTTGATGAGTGAGAGGAAACGCCGAAAGAGAAAGGTCATATAAAACGAAGCAGTGCCAGGGTATACTGGCAGAGCATCACATGCTGATTATGATTCACTTTCTCCTTGTTGGAAACTAAAACAACTGCGAGAGAAACCGAGAGGTTAAAAAAACAGTTTGGCCTCCGTCACAGAGAAAAACTCTGAATCAGATAGTGAGACGGTCCAGTGGTCTAACAGCCCTGCTTAGCCTCCCTGTGCTCTAAACAGGTACTACAGATGGCTTCATCGATTCTTAAGAATGGTCCCGTCCTCTACGGCAGCGGTC